GTATATTGTTGGAATTCTTCTATTTTTGTTTGTATTGCCTACTAAACGGTGGTAATCAATAACAACCAAACTAAATGCAAAATACAAAAAAATCACCAATGTGAAAAAGTAATTTAGCCCCCGAACTACACCCAAATGCTTCCAATAGCTGGAGATCAGTCTTTGACACTACTGTGGTGAAATCTTAGCCCACTCTTCTCTGCAGACTCTGAACATTGACCAGGTCTCTCCAAATATTCAATTGCTTCCTTCTGAGTCATTCAGAGGTGGACTTCTTCTGCCCTCAAGCTGAAACTGACCTAATGTTCTCCTTCAGGACTTCCTGTCAGGGAACAGAATTCATGTTTTCCTCAATTAGAATAAGTTGCCCTGAAGCAGGAAAGCGTCCCCACAACACTACACTGTCATCTTCATGCTTGACCACAGCTATAACATTCTGTATGTGGAATTCTGTATTTGGTTTATGTCAGATGTAGCAGTCTTCCAAACAGTAAACCTTTCACCCATCAATCCATAGAATTTTAGGCAGAATTCAGACAAGCCTTGGTGTTCTTCTGGGGCAGCAATGGCTTTCGCCTCACCATACTCCCACAGATGCCATTTTTGCTCTGTACATTTCAGATAATCGAGTCATGAACATTGATGCTTATTGAGGTGACAGAGGCCTGCAGTTCTTTGGATGTTTTTTAAATTTTTAAAAAAAAATTTGTGACTCCTTGGATTAGTTGTTGCCGTGTTACCGAAGGAACTTTGGAAGGTCGGCCACTTGTAAGGAGGCTTGATACTGCTCGAAAAATTAGATATAAAACCCTTCCTGTTTTGGTATATTTCAGGTACATTTTTCTCTTCTCTTTAGGGATTTCTCTGATTTTGGCAGTGTGCTTTTGGTGAGACCTTTAAGTCAACTTCATCCCTCTGAAAAAGTGATAATTCGATTCAATCAGGTTTAGTCATAGTCAGGCTGCCGCTAGTTATGAATTTAGTTTGCTAGATTTTGTCTTGTAGTAACTAAGCGCAAATACTTATTCACTCGGGCTCAGTTGGTTTTAGATCATTTTTGAGATTCTGTACACACGATCACCATCTGAAATCTTTGTGTTTACTTCAATTGTCTTTGTTTTATGTTAGATTTTATGTTTTATGTTTTATTTTCCTTTTTCAAAGACTGTAAAAAGTTTCACATAAACATAAAAGTTACATAAACTATAGGATATCTACATTAAAAAAAAAAAAAAAACATCCATGCTGGATACATCCACATATATGCTAACACACTTATATACACAACACGTCTACACATATCTGCCAAAGTGCTTTGTTTAAAGTGTCTCTCTGGTCATTAATTAAATCCCTAAAACTCATCTCTATGTAAGAAAGTTACATCTTTTTTCCCTAAACTGACTTTGATGTAACTCTGCGTTGTTGATTCCTCTAGAATGTGCTGAACAATGAAGACCCTGCTTTACTCTCCACTCACTCCTCCCCACTCACTGCTGCTGGAGCACACCAGCTCACCTACGTCTCTGCACTGTAAAACTATTTTACGCTACACAATGGCAAGTTGCAAAACTGCAGTAATTCAGCCATACATGTTAAAACTGAAATCTGATCCTGAAGAAGAAGAATGACAAAGTCCCACCCTGCAAGTAGACAGGATTACTTCCTCAGGTTTGTTACATATGAAACCCTAGAAGTCTCACTCTGTATTTTTTAGACTGTCATAGGTGTTTCTCTGGTTCACGGTGGAAATACTCCCGCAAGGAACTTAGTACTTATTTTGATCATGATTTTCTTCCAGCATACAAAAAACACCATATGGACATGTTAACAAGGTAAAAAAAAACAACTAGATTCTCCCTGGAGGGTAACTTTAATGATGCTAAGGCAGAAGGGACTAAACTCCTGCCATTGCCTGCTCGAATCCAGGCCAGGGATCTGTATCTCCACCCTGATGGAAGCAGTGTGATGAATGGGAAAATGTTTTAGTTGGAAGATCCGACACAGTTTAGTATGAGATACATGCAAAAATAGAAAAACTCAGGAGGGGGTCACACTTTTCCACAGCACTGTAGGGCTTGATGGTAGAAAATGAGCTCTGTGTCTAAATGACACTTGTTTTCTCTGCCAAGTCTGAGAAGACACAGAAGGCTTTGGTTTCACATGCAAACCATATGCAGCCTGCCACAAATTGCAGCAGTTTTCTGGTATTCCCTCCTCTAAATTCAGCTGTCACTGTATGAAATGTGCTCCCAGTGACCCGGCCTCTCATGGCATTATATCTGACAAACAGCCCTTCTACAAAACATCGCCTAAATTTGTCTCTGCCCTTTTCACACTGAGGACATGATGGCAAGCTGCAGCAGATGGCCAAAAAGGATTCCTATTTCCACCGACTGCTAATTAGAGCCCCAACCACGGCTCACCTTTAATGTCAGCCACAGACTGCATTTAGTGCAATTAGCCTAATGGGGTCCGGGCCTGTGATAGCCTGTAATGTTTAGCCCAGGCCAGCCGTTGCATTGGTGTTAGTGTATGTCAAAATAAAGGACAAAAGGGGTCTAATGCACCGTGGATCCATTTATCACCGCAGTTGATGGAGGACAAGACTGTAACCATGATTACCCAGAGAAACTATTTAATTAGATGCATTAATAATTGAACTAATTAGCTCCCATGTGTCTCGCAAATGAAGAGGGAACCCGGAGCTTCACTTGCACCTCATCAGCTGATTAATTAGTCTGTTGATCGCTAGCTGTCTTGACGGCCTATATGCGATCAGATGAGAGGGCGGATAATGAGGAATAGTCGGTCGATGGTGCTGGTTAATTAGTGTGACCTGATCCAGGGGCCATGTTAGAACAGTTGTTTATGCCACAGCGTCTAATGAGGAGGATTTAGGGCCGGATGATCCATTTGGAAGCAGGCTGCAGTGTTGTTTATGGACTGGGATGAATACTGGCCCTGAAAATCCCAATGAAAATCACTATAATGTTCCAATAATCTATCTACAGGGACCAATAATGTGTCTGTGGTGTTCAATATTAACTTTAAGTAATGATCTTACCATACCCTGTGGTGTTTCTATTCTGAAATCCTTAATGTGGTAACTTACAGTAGGTTTGGGACTCCACATTGAGTTTCAAGGCCATTTAGGTTTCATCAATGGTATTGCTATAATATCCTTAGAGTTTCCAAGGATATCGGTGACTGTAGTGTTTTTTTTTTAGTAAGTATATAATACTTTAAGCTATTTTTATCTGGTTTCATCTCCAGCATATAATATTCTTTTAATAAGTTGTTGTGTCTGTCCAGAATATAATCTGATAGTATGACTATAATATTCAAGAACTATATTTAACACTGTTTGCTGTACTAGCAGACCTAGTAATACAGATTTTTAGCTTTTGTATTGTAAATAAACACTAAAAATCAGTTTTTGGCCTTAAGGACTTGGTCAGTTCGTAGTCACTTTTGCAGCTTTACGTTGTTGTCTTCTCCTGTGTTCTTAAGATCTATTTTTATAATATTCAAGGACTTGTATCTATAGCTGGAACCTTTCTTCCAGAAGCTGATTTTTTTTTTTCCATTCATTCCTTCATTTTCTGATGTTAGCAATATAGCCTTGATAGCATCAGAGCACTTTACATTGTTAATGTCACCACATGAATCATATTAATGTACCTTTAAGTCCACTTGCCAGTTCTCTCCAGGCTATAATAGGTCCACTAATGAGCTCATGGTGACCTATAGCTGCTGTATAATATTTTTTATGGTATCTCCCTAATATTTCTACAAGGAGCTGCAGTGTCCAGCTTATAGTAACTACTTTATAGAGTTGCCATTTCCTGTTTTTATAGTCTTCAGCTTGGTAAAGCCATAGTAGGCCCAGCATCAGTTTTGGTGTTTTTATATAGAGACCTGCAGTATGATTTAAAAGTGGATCTATAATGTGCTACTGCCTTTTTGTGTGGAATACATTGTAGTGTTCTAATAATTCTCCAACAAGATCTTACAGATGATCTATTGCTAAGCTTATGGTTACTTTACTGCAATTTTATAAGTTTTCATCTCTTGTTATATTCATGCACATCGTTTATAGTGGAAGCTTTACAGCCTTAGAAGTCTAGTTTTTGGCAAGTGAATCCACAATGATCCACGTTGTGGTATCTCTAACATTATATTGCTATAATATTCCTACAAGTCTGCAGGAGAAGCAATATTAAGTTTATAGTGTTTTCATCTGCTGTATTTCTACAATGTTCAAGGCCGTCATAATGCACCAGAACCCGTTCCTGCTCACATAGGTATTATAGAATATTCCTGTCATTATAAAAATGCAGTAACCTGAATATATTGACCTGTAACTGCCTTTTTTAATATCTCCTATCCTATATCTACAATTCATTTTCCAACAGTTATGGAATCTGAAGGCTTAATCACCAGTATTGCTATAATACTTCTATAATACTTAAGGATTAGACATTTATAATTGCTTTTTTCGTGTGTGAGTGACCTTATGGTATCCTATAATATTGCAATACTGTATTTTCCTTCCCACAGCCAATCTATTATCACTTAAAAAACACAAGCACATAAATAAGGGATTAACACACACACACACACACACACACACACGTACGAGAGTGCAAGCGCGCGCACGTGCACGCGCGCGTAAAAGGCTCTGCATCTGTCGTGCTGAAAAGCCACAGCTTTGACTACAGGGCGCCCTGGAGATAATTGGTGTCCTTGGAGTTGAATAAGCTCATTCTAAAACACCTCAGGCCCGGGCGGTCCTGGTGTGTGACTGTGTATTGAATAATTGATTCAGAGAGGGAGGGGGCGGTTACTATCAGATCTGAGCATAATGACTTTATATAATTAGCACGCAGCATTGAAAAAACCATTTGACTGTGGGAGTTTTTTGCAGAGAGCGAGAGAGAGAGAGAG